TCCTTCAAGTTATTCAGTTATTTTTATTTAATTATATCATTCTGGAGTTACTTCCCTTGAAGGTATATTCCTGCCATCATGGGCAGTGTAGCCTATTTTACTTCTCTGCCATTGCTTCATTATTAATAAAAATAAACTCTGCAAGGATTCTCTGGTTTTTTATGTTTTCTTGAAATCAAATCTATACTATTGTTTTAAACAGTATAGTGTTCTGTGTATCTTGTGGGTTTTTCGAAACTTTATTTCCTTCAAAGGAAAATTACATTGGATTTGCAAGGAAAATATGATGGTGTCTGTATCTCTGTTACCACATCTTTTCACCAAATGTACATGTGTGCCATTTGCTTTCATTTTTATGGGTTTTACTGTAAGGAGTTTTTTTTTTTGTTTTCGTTTGGTTGAGTTGGGATTTTTTTGTTTGTTTTTTTTTTGGCTTTTTGTTTGTTTGGTTTTGTTTTTGGTTCTAGGTACTAAGCCCTAGAAGAGATTGTTTCTTTCTCTCTAACCTAAAGTACTTTATATATACAAGCCTGTGTTCTCCATTCTATAATTCCAAAATCCAAAATGCTTGAAAAAGTTTTTTAGTCTTTTGGTAACAAACCTCATTTGTCAACAACACCTTCTCTTGAAACTGACATGAAACTATATGTAGTCTTTGTTTTTCCCATTTAGTGTGAATATTCATGTGTTTCACTGTGTTTGGTTATGGGATTGCTGCCCCTAATCTCTGGTGATATTACATAGTATATGGCATATCATGTTGCCTTTCTAAAATCCAAACAGATTTTTATGTCTGAAACATTTGGCCTTAAGTGTTTGGGGTCAGGGATTGTGGACTTAGGTCTGTATTGGTAGCACTGGTTACAGGTGCTTGTGGCAGTTTATTCCCTTGTCTGTGTTTCCCATTAGACTTTGAACTAAGAAAGCTTTCCTCCTTGGCCCCACAGACCCTAGTTTATTGTGTACTTAGTAATCAGTACTAAACAGAGTTGGTACTTAATATTGAAATTGAATACCAAAAATTGGGGCAAAGCTTTACCCAGATAGGTTATTGAACTACAGATTATAGCATGTTTTCTTTTCACTTGATTATATGTTCTTTTTAAACAGTCTCTTTCCTGTTCTGCTTCTCTTTTCTTTCTTCTTACTGGAATCTTGGCTTCACCACTGACTAATCACTGTGTGATCTTGAACAGCTTACTTAACACCTCAATACATTCATTTGTTCATTTGTAAAAATGGTATCATAATTTTGCTTACCTCAAAGGATTGTTGTGAGGGCTAACCAGAATGCTTCCTGGAATTTATCACTCCTTTTGCTGTTAATGTTGCTGTTACTGATTCATATCCTATTGGTTACCTTACTAACATATGGTGAACCATCCTCTTATTGACTTTGAGGTCATTTTTAGTGTTTTGACGCTTTTAACAATGCTGGAGTTAATCCTTGCATAGATGTCCATAAGTCTTTGTGACCTTATTTTTGTAGGGATAGATTGAAGTGGGAATGTTGCATCAGTGGCCCCTAATATTTTTAATTTTAGTGGATATTTGCATGTTACTTTCTTAAGGCAGAATTGAGAAATGCGGGGGTAGGGTAGCAGTTTTCAGACCCACCAACAGTCTATATAAGAGTGCCATAACCTTGCCAGCAATGGATTTTATCAATTCATTTTTAAAAAGTAATTATAAACTCATGGGAAATTATAAAAATGGATACCTCACCCCGCTTCCTCCAGTGGTAATGTCTTATATAACTACAGTACAATATCAAAACCAGGAAACTGACCTTAGTACAGTACTGCTAACAAAGACCTGAATATATTTGATTTTTCCGAGTCTGACCAATGGTGTCTCGGTTTCATTTGTTTTCCTTTAACCACTGTAAAGTTTGGGCAGCTTTTCATGTATTCTGTTGGCCATTTATATTGCATTTTCATATCCTTTATTTTTTTCTAATTGGTTGTTTGTATTTTCCTAGAAAGCTATTTTAGGTATGCTTGGTATAGATTTGTTGATGATTTTTTTTCCTGTACAGAAATTTTTATTTTTATTTAGTTATTAAGGTTTTCTTTTGTGGTTTGGGGTTTTTTCTTTCTTATGTAGAAAGGTTACTCTATCCTGTAGGTTATACTGTTTTCCTTCTACTTTTTACATTTTGGCTTTTAATCCATTTGGAATATGTTTTTATATAAGCTGTGAGAATTAAATAATTATTTAATTAATTATTCAATGAACTGTTTTATTTAGGAGTCTCTTGGTTGTTTGTGACTTAAAACCTCAACAAAATTCCAAAGGTGGGACTGGCTTAAGGCAAGGCTGGATACAGTGGCATAACTAATATTGCTAAAAAAAAAATGTTGCTGTTTTCCTCTTTTCTCAGCTCTGCCTTTTTGGGTGTTGAATTTTCCTCCATAATCCTTACCTAGCCCTTCCTTTCTCTCTCCTTTGTGTTGTTCCACCCAAATTCCAGATACTTCCCTCATGGTCATATGACTGAAAGTCTTAGGTATTATTTTCTCATACTGCTCAGGGGAAGAGAAAGATTCTCACCACAGGTGACCGTGTCATAACTCAGTCTTCTTCCTGCTGCACAGAAATAGTACCTTTTACATTTATTGTGATCTGTTTCTATATTTTCTATTTTGTTCCACCAGCAGTCTGTAAGAGTGAACATTTGCCTGTTTATCCTGTCCCAGAAACACATTGCTTAATAAAACTCTAATTTAATTATTATTATTCAATAATTATTTAATTTAATAATTAATTATTCACTAATATTCTAATAATGTGCTTAGAGTACATTTTAATATCTTCTTAAGCAAGTCTCTCATCATTTATTTCCCAGAAATTTCTTGGCAATTTTTATATGTTTATTTGATACAGACTTGGAGGTTTTGACTAGAATTGCATTATGTGTATTTTTAACATGGAAATATCTAAATTAGATAAACATAACTGAAAATCAGCCTGGAGATACTCAGTGTTTTTCTTTTTCTTTTTAATTAATTAATTAATTTTTATTTTTGCCTCCGTTGGGTTTTCATTGCTGTGTGTGGGCTCTCTCTAATTGTGGCGAGAGGGGCATACTCTTCGTTGTGGGGTGCAGGCTTCTCATTGCAGTGGCTTTTCTTGTTGCAGAGCACGGGCTTTAGGCAAGCAGGCTTCAGTAGTTGTGGCTTGCGGGCTCTAGAGTGTAGGCTCAGTAATTGTGGCACACCGGCTTAGTTGCTCCATGGCATGTGGGATCTTGCCGGACCAGGGCTCGAACCCATGTCCCCTGCATTGGTAGGCAGATTCTTAACCACTGTGCCACCAGGGAAGTCCCTCTTTTTTTTTTTTTAATATTTTATTTATTTACTTATTTGATTGGCCTGGGTCTTAGTTGTGTCAGGCAAGCTCCTTAGTTGTGGCTCACAGGCTCCTTAGTTGTGGCATGCAAGCTCTTAGTTACGGCATGCATGTGGGATCTAGTTCCTTGACCAGGGATCAAACCCAGGCCCCCTGCATTGGGAGCGTGGAGTGTTAACCACTGTGCCACCAGGGAAGTCTCATCATTTTCTTTAACAAAAGGTTTTCTTTTATTTTCTTTGTTCTCCATCTTTTCAGTCTATTTTATTTATTTATTTATTTATTTATTTATTTACTTATTTATTTATTTATGGCTGCGTTGGATCTTTGTTGCTATTAGTGGGCTTTTTCTAGCTGCGGCGAGTGTGCAGCATGGGCTCTAGGTGCGTGGGCTTCAGTAGTTGTGGCACACAGGCTCAGTAGTTGTGGCTCGCGGGCTCTAGAGTGCAGGCTCCGTAGTTGTGGTGCACGGGCTTAGTTGCTCCGCGGCATTTGGGATCTTCCTGGACCAGGGCTTGAACCAGTGTCCCCTGCGGATTCTTAACCACTGCGCCACCAGGGAAGTCCCCATCTTTTCAGTTTTTGACCCTCAGCACCTTCACAGTACCAAAAGACAGTGGTCCTGCTCTCTCCTACAGAGAACTCTTATCTTTAGATACCCAAGATATCTAGCAGCCTCTTCCAGTAGGCTTCTTTGGGTTATTGAGTAGTACCAGCAGAGAACTGAGAAGGGAGATATGGAAATGTGCAAATAAGTTGCCTTATCCCTCAGATATTGTGAGTTGTTGTTTTTTTTTAAATTTAAGGATGCCACACATCTCCATTTATATTACTATAGGAAAATGAAATTGATTACAGGAAAGGAAAATGATATATGTATATTTTCTACAGATAATTTATTATATACCTAAAACTCTAGAAAATATGATAAATGTATATTAGAATTAGTAAACTTTTAACCAGGTTTCTACATAGAAGATGAATATTCCAAAGTCTGCTTTATGTCTTTTAAAGTGATCTCATGATAGGTCTAAAGACCATCGTAATATAGATAACTATGGAATCATTATATTTTACACCTGACACTAATACAATGTTATATGTCAATTATATCTCAATTTTAAAAAAGAGAGCATGTAAATGTGTTTGTTCCATAACTCAGATTCAGTCTGGTGCAGCAGTATGCAGGGAGATTAATATTATTTATTTCTGTGTGTGTTTTCTTTTTCTTCCCTGTTTTACTTCTGGACATTTAAGGCTTGTGCTAAATGAAATAGATTAAAAATTTTTTTTTCAGCTTTATTGAGGTGTATTAACAAATAAAATTGTAAGTCAAATAGAATCTTTAGAGAATATATTTGTGATGCTTCTGTGAGAGAAATTTGTCTTGACTGAAATGTTAGATGATAAATTGGGATTAAGAAAATTATAGAATTATTTTTTCTTTAGATAACTGGGAAGGAATTTTACATCCATTTTCTCCATGGCAGCCTTTCTAGATTTATAGACTTTTTATAGTTTATAAAATGTGTTTATGTCAAATGAGTGTTGATTTGTTAATTTTATCTTAATTCAGTGTTACGTAGGATATTCAGAGACAGAAACTAATCATTGTGTTCTCTCTCTCTCTCTCTCTTTTTTTTTGGCAGTGGAACTTCCCCTCTTGCATGCCTGAATGCAATGCTGCACACAAACTCCCGAGGTGAAGAGGGCATCTTCTATAAGGTTCCAGGTAGAATGGGAGTGTATACTTTGAAGGTAAATATTTTTGTTACGGAGTCATTTTAAAAGTGAAAACAGGAAGTAACTACGTGTAATAAATAATACTTGCATCATAGAGACAGAATTCTGTTCTTGAAGAGCTTACTTTCAGGAAGAGGTAAAATTTTCAATCCTGTATCCAATACATTTTTTTTTTAATTAATCTGTAACCATCTGTAGGTAGATTGGAGAAGTAACTTCATTTTTCATTCTTTGCCATAGTTTTTTTTTTTTCATTCTTTGCCATAGTATTATTTTGAAAGGATGAAATTAAAATGACTTCCAGTGACTTTTAAAGGGTGTCACATATTTAAATAATAATGAGTATTACTGTAGAGTATACAGCCTTGATGCTTTATATTACTTTCTGATTTAATTCTCCATTACAATTCAGAGTTGTGGTTATTATTCCTTTATTATGATAGAGAAAGCCGAAGTTCAGAAGATTGGATTTTCTTGCTCAGTGTTGGCCAGATAGTATCAGAACCAGAATATGAATCCATATCTGACTGAATTCACGTGTTCTTTTACCATAACAGACTTGCTAAGTTCTAATTTCTGCACTAAGAAGGGACCTTGACTTATCAGTGTCCTTTCAGTTACAAACAGAAAAGCCAACTCAAATGAGCTTGAGTGAAACAGAGAAGTTATTAGTTCACATAACTGAAAATTCTAGGGAAACTCAGCCTGAATTCGGGAGCTCAAATTATGGTCATCAGGGATGGGTCTCTCCGTTTTCTTTTGGCTTCAGTCTCAGGCAAGCCCTCTCCTCATCGTACATGACTTCACTCCCAACCCCCACTCTGCAATCTGTAAGTCTGGAGAGAAGGAGTCTCAGGAACTGAAGCAGGAGCCCTTTAGTTAGTTCTGATGTGGCTTAATTGGTTTGGCTTGGCCCATGTGCCTATACCAGAATGATTGCCGTTACCAAACACATGGAGTCTTCTGATTGGCCACTCTTAAGTTCATGATCACCCTTGATGTGAAAGTGTGGTTAAGCCCTCTCAAGCCAGATGAACTGAGGCAAGGGTTGTTTCCCAAAGAAAATTTATCAGCAGAAGGAGAATTAATGCTTGGCATGCAATGACTATGTCCATGTGTATGTGGGACTCTGTCCCCTCTTACCTTTTTAGTTTTGGCTGTAGTCATCTCTATGCTCACTGGTTGTGTGTAGCCCACTAACATTAAAAAGATCTAACTTACCCATAATACCTCCTTTTAAAACACCTTGTTGAACTTCACAGGGTTACAGGGATCTAGTCCCACACAGAGCTTTCTGTGTTTCTTTTAGGTTTTAGTTGTTCTAGACCTTCTATATTGTTAATAACATTTATTAAATGCCTATTCTATACCTGACACTGTAGAGGCTATAAAGAAGGATAAACTATGGTTCCTGATCTCTTGAAGCTCACATAGTTACTGAAATAATTGCATGCTCACAAAACACACTGTGCTGTAAAGTACTGTGAGAGCATAGAGAAATAAAGATTAACCTTGAATAAAGGGATCTGGAAGATTTAGTTTGTTTTTCTGTTGTTTTAAAGTTGTAAAATTTGAGTTGAACTTTGGCAGATAAATAATGGAAGGAAGGGCCTTCCAGGACAAGGGAATAGCTTAAGCAAAGGCACAGATAAAAGGATTCAGAATGGTTTTGAGAGTAAATTGGAGTGGTTAGACCATAATCTGTGTGTGGGCTAGTGTGGTAAGGAGTCAGGAGGGGGTAAATGTTAGGTGAAGAACAAACATTGGAGGCTTTTGAAAACCTGACTGAGCGGTTAAGAGAGTGAAGGAGGGAGGGTAGGTATGTGTTGAGGAAACGGCAGGGGTTTTTTTGGAGAATAGCATGATCAAATCATGTTTAGGAAGATAATTCAAGTAAAGAGTAAAGCAAGAAAATTTGTCAAAAGGATGGTTATGATTGTTTGGAAGAGATAATTGGCCTAAACTGTGAGAGTGGTGAAAGAGATGGAGGCAAGGAACATTAGAGAAATAAAACGTAAACTATTTGGAGTGGGTAAAAGAAGCGGTGCAGTGATTCTAAGATTTGGGGCATGAGTTGATCCTGGAGGGATCACAAGTTTAAGAAGACAGTTAGGGGGGGCTTCCCTGGTGGCGCAGTGGTTGAGAGTCCGCCTGCCGATGCAGGGGACATGGGTTCGTGCCCCGGTCTGGGAGGATTCCACATGCCGCGGAGCGGCTGGGCCCGTGAGCCATGGCCGCTGGGCCTGCGCGTCCGGAGCTTGTGCTCCACAATGGAAAGGCCACAGCAGTGAGGCCCGTGTACCGGAAAAAAAAGAAGACAGTTATATTTGTATTTAAAGTGTGTGTTGAACTTACAGATCAAGAGGTCTTGTTTGCAACTAACTCTATAAAAGTTTCCTATATTTTGAAGGAAAGGATATGTATTTTAAGAAAGTGTATAACATGTGAAATGGCACTAGAGTATAAACGTAAGTGGAAAAAAACAGTTCCTTATTAGATCAGAGATTACTATCTTGACTGTAATGTTGTGAGTACTAGTTATAGGTAGGAGGGTCATGTGTCAGAATTACTTTTTATCTGATTATAAAAATAAATTATGTGGGAAAACAAAATATATATTGAGAAGAAAAAAGAATCATCCATAGTTTCATAACTCAGAAATAACATTCACTAATGTGTTTATTTATATGTATATATTTTACACACTACATAAATTTATAGTAGCTAATATTTATTGAGCTCTTATCATATGCCAGGCCTTGTTCTAAGCATTTTATATTTATTAACTCATTTAATTTCAGAATGATCTTTTAAGGTAGGTACTGTCACCCCATCTTATAGACAGGGAAACTGAGGCATGAGAGTTTAAGACTTTGACCAAGGCTGCATAATTAGGAGAAGATAAAGCCAGAATTCAAACCCCCAAAGTCTTAATTTCCTAGTTCTTGATCTTACAACTACCCTGTTATATCTCTCACATACTGTGGCTGACACAGGTGTCCTTTCTGATTAGCATTCTCACTGTCCAGTGCAGAAACCAAAGATTCATGTGATTTTTTTTTTTTCTTCTTTTAAACCATTCCTTTTGTGTTTGACTCTTGCTACTTACTAACCAATTTTTGGAACCAGTTAGATTCAAATAATGCACTATCACTTGCTATCCAGACTCTTAACTGAATTTACAATACATAATGGTACTTACATACACATAAATATATATATATATATATATATATATATATATTACATGGATGATGGGTGTACATACATTTTAAAAAATTGTTATTATATAGATTTTATCCTGAACATTTCATCATTTACCTGGATTTAAATATACCAAGTTTTTTGTCCAATTTAAGCCTCTGTGTTGTGCCTGCATACGATTGTCATGTGTATTTTTTATCTTTGAGTATGGATGGAAGCATTAACTAATTTGACCCAAAGAAGAGAGATGACAGGAATTCAGAAATTATTGCTGGTTCTGCTACTGAATTTTATAATACTAAAAATTAATCAGCACAATTAAAAGTCACAACAATGCATATCAGAAATTTAATTCCTATTTGCTGAAATGGTAATGATTAATCCTAATTGGATGCCTACATTTTCAGAAAGATGTGCCGGATGGGGTGAAAGAGCTATCAGAAGGTTCAGAAGAAAGCAGTGATGGTCAGTCAGATTCCCAGAGTTCTGAGAACAGCAGCAGCAGCAGTGATGGTGGCAGCAACAAGGAGGGAAAAAAGAGCAGGTGGAAAAGGAAAGGTAAATCCACCTGATCCCTCCATAAAGTACTGAATGCTGTAGGACAAATGCCCTGGTTAATAGTTCCTCTTTTTCTAGACCCCATGTCAGTTAGTCTCTTTCCC